AACTTAGAACACAGAACTAAGAAGACAGAACCTACACAGAACCTAGAGACAGAAGAACTTCGCTGGAGAGAACATGGCAAAAGATCCTGGACTGAACCTGACTATAGAACATGGCAAGAGAACCTGACTAGAACTTGGCAACTGAACCTGGCTGGAGAACCTGGACAGAACCTGGCTGGAGAACCTAGCAAGGGAACATGGCTACAGAACCTGGCAAGAGAACCTGGAGAACCTAGCAAGAGAACATGGACACAGAACCTGGCTGGAGAACCTAGTGAGGGAACATGGCTACAGAACCTGGCTGGAGAACCTGGAGAACCTAGCAAGAGAACATGGACACAGAACCTGGCTGGAGATCCTAAGCAGAACCTCTCTGGAGATCCAGACCAGAACTTGGCTGGAGATCCTGGCTAGGCTGCTGATCAACTGAACACTGTCTCCATGTCCTTCCTTCCTCGCCGACTCCGTCTACGCTTTTGGGAACCCCTGGACCCGCTGGGGTTGGACCCCGGCACGCAGTCAGTTATTTAGTAGCAGGGAGGCAAGGCTGTCCATGTTGAGTCCGTCCATCCCGTGGAGACCGCCCCTTTGGGGGCAGTCAGTCCTGGGGATGCTGTCTGTTAGGTCGGAGAGAGCCCAGGATCGGATACATGCAGACATGTGATGAGACAATGGACTGCCACTGTAATTTCTCACAGATTAACGTGCCAGACACAGATACCAGCTTCTTCTCCCTTAATCCACATACCCCTGCCCATCCCCTGTGGCAGAGAATTCCTCAGCTCATGTCCCCGTCCCTCACCCAACCGCAGTATAAAAAAAGCACCTGCCTCCCTGTTGGCGTGAATCCATGTGCCCTCTCCTTGGGGTACATGGGTCCCCCCGGGGACGCAGAATAAACTTTCCTTCCTTCCTTTCTTTTCTGATTCACTGGACTCTTTATTTCTTATGCCGCCTCCTGAGCCACCTAACCTAACACTGTCATTGTTTTGGGTGGAGCTAGACGCAGTCAGTTTTTGCAATGGGAACATGTTAGTACCCTGAGAAAAAGATTGTGGTGAATGGCTTGTTGCAGAAAGAATGTTTTCATTTCGGTAGGAAGTTATTTTTATTATTTTAGAAAGGAAGAGAGAGAGAGAGAGAGAGAGAGAGAGAGAGAGAGAGAGAGAGAGAGAGAGAGAGATATTCGTGCTGAGGGAGAATCCTCGATGAGAGTGAATTCCCTGAAGTCACTGTTCTGGCTGTGGGTGAGCACCCCTTGCAGCCCTTCCAAGGGGCATTCTGGAGACGGGTGCACTGAGGTTCTCTGTCAGATGACTCTCCGACCATGTCCAAGCTGCTGATTTTGTGTCCTTTTGAAAGAGCAGCAAGCAGCATGGGCTAGTGCTTGTCTTCCCTGTGAAAGATGTAACCATTTCCAGCCACCCTAAGTGGAAATCCACACGCATTCGTGCGCCTGTTTTGAGCCCGTGGCATGCATAGGCATTGCTGTTTAAGTGCCCATGTGCTCAATTAGGATTGTTTTGTTATTTTCCGTATCATAAATGTGAATGTGATGAGCATCAAGCAGTGTGTCGTGGTTTCTGAATGTTGTGAATCCCTTGAACTTCCAATGCCCAAATCACTGTGTGAGAAATCAGCTGAGGAAAGTTAAGTGACCTTTGTTGAAAGGGAAAGGTTTGTATGGTATTTTTTTTCTTCCATTCGTTGTGTGACTATGACGCTACAGAAACAAGATTTTTTCTAAAAGCACAGGCATTCAGAATGAAAAGCTGTTCCTTGGAATGGAAGGATGGAGGGAGGAGAGCATCATCGCGTTGTCAAGTTCCTCCCAGGAAGCTGTGTGGGAGCCCATGTGTGTCTGTCCGTGTTGGTGAGGGGATTGCATTTCGAAATGCCTGTCCCTGCTTGGCCAGCAGGTGGAGCCAAGACCTAGCTGGGGATGAAGATTTGTGTGTGTCTTTGTGATGGAGAGATTTACTTGTCATCCATGCAGGAAGTGAGGCTCCTGAGTGGGCCCTGAGGGCAGAGGTGCCCCTTGGTAGCGGGTGTATGAAGGGGGTGTGGACGAAAGGTGCCACACGCTGACCTGACAAGCTCAGGGAAGGCCTGCGTGGCAGCCTAGCAGACTCAGAGACCTAAAGTAACCACAAAGGATGGTCTGAAATTAAACTTTAACTAAAAGCAGTGATGGTGGGCAGTTATGTCCTAGGCCAGTATCTTCACTGACAAGATCAACTTTGATCCTTACTGAGCCCATTTGCCTTTTTGCCTCTAAGATAACATACCCTTGAAATGTCTGGGTAACTTGTAACTTCCCTTTTTCTGGAGCCCCTGGGGCACAACCAAATGTTCTGGGCGCCAGGACAGATACTACAAATTCCTTCATTATCATGTTGATTGATCCTGCACCCACCTAAGTATGTGTCCATTATTTTACTTTTTATCCTATCCTAGAGGTTCCCCCCCCCTCCGGCTTCGCTTAATCCCACCTCCTCAAATCTGTCACCAATGAATTTCATGTAACCCACCTATGTCCCTCCTTTGATTGCAATGTATAAATACAATTGTAACCCCGCCATTCTCCAGAGCACTATCTCAATTCGTTGAGGTTCTGCTTCCCGGCATATGTTGACAGTTTGGCTCAAATAAACTCACAAAAATTCTTTACAGGTTTCAATGTTTTTTTTTACGTTAACAGGGGCATCCTTTGGCTACGTAGTTTTTGTACTGGAACTCGTCTTTCTTGTCGGCCAGAATGGCAGAATGAATTGCCGGACAGAAAGTGCTGAAGCAAGTGTGGAGATGTGTTGAAGGATAACAAGTCCAGACTGCCACGTAGGGAGGGTGAAAAGGGTCCCACTGGGTTCCTTTCCCTATGTCCTGTCAAAGGTGCAGATCGTAGTGCCTGCTATTCCCTCTGCTGGGTCCATTTTCCCCTTGGAGTTGGCCTAAGACGTCCTGGGCTCCAAGGTTGACCCTCCCATGGGCCTCCCCCTCGTTCCCTGTGGGCTTTGTTCTTTTGCACCTGAATGAAGGGCTTCCTTGTCTTTATTTTGTAAATCTTGACCTTTGTGGGCTATTTGCATTTCCTTTGTGTTATGCAAATGTAGCTGTTGGTGCTCCTTGTGTTATGGAGATGTGAGTGCCCCTGGCTTCCTTGTGTTGTGGCAATGTCCCTTCTGCCAGTGTGCGTCCTTGTGCTTTTTCCATGGACCCTAATTGTCCGAAATGCCTAAAGCTGGCTCTATGGCCCCTGAAATTGCTGCTTGACTGTGACCGCGTGGCAGCTCAGGTGGTGTTAAGGAAAAGGGTATCTTCCTGTTTGTCATGTCCCCTGAGGCACGCATTTCCCCTGTCCATTGTGTTGTGTATTTTTTTGCTTCCCCTAGCCCAGTGTGTTCGAGCCGAGGCCAGTAGTCCCCAAGGCCGTGAGGAGCCGGTTTTGTGGAGTGTGGAGGGTTGGTTTGTAGATGGGCCATGCAATTGTGTGATGTGTGAGGTGTCAGAGGCTTGGTGTGTGAGTCGTTGAGAAAATGATGGGATTCCTATGTGAAGAATGTGAGGGTGTTTTCTTGGAAGGATGGATGGCGTTGGGGGGTGAGGTCCCTCGGCCATTGGAGATTTGGCCCAGAAACGTGTTTGCAAGGTGTTGGTCCTTGTCAGCGCTGGGGTTCCCTAGGGTAAAACCTGGATGGAGCGTTTGATGGGCCATTGTTGAGGTGATGAGGGTGGAGGCTGTGACTGCCCGCAGGTACAGAAATGTGGGTGTGGATGTAGAAAGGGCAGGCGATGGTGCTGTGTGGCTGGAAGTGGTGTCTGTTTGGATGATATTACGTCTGCAATGGGGAGGAAGGGCAAGGATTTGTGTTTGGTAAGGGAGCCGGCTGTCGTCTTGGCCTTTGTTTCCCTGGAGGTGTGTGTGCAGAGTGTCCAGCGCTCGCGTCGGTTGTTGTGTCGGACGGAGCCTGTGCGCTGGGGCGAGGTGTGTGTGGGCTGGGAGAGCCGGCTGAGTGTGGTTTGTGCCTGTGAGGCGTTATTCCAGGGACGTTTGTGAGGAGGAAAGCCAGGTCAGACTGTTGTTTGTTGAGTTCTGTGAGGAAGGCGAAGGTGGTGGTGTGTGTTTCAGGGACAAGTGTGTGTGTCCCAGGGCCTGTGAAGGGTAGGCTGCGGTCCAGTCGGGACTAGGGTGTGTTCAGCTGCGTCCGTTTTCATGGGAGGGAGCAGAGCTGAACAAGGGTAAGTGTAGTGGGCCCACTGGGATGAAAGTCAGTGGTTTTTGAGTTGATTTCAGTGCAGCCATTGTGTTTTCTGAAGGCCCCTCCCTTTTGAGTTTGGGTGAGCCCATTGCAATGCCTGTCCTCCGGGTCTGCCTGAAGAAGTCTCTGCCCCGAAAAGTTCCCGCCGTTGTAAATCCCGCCTAAAGTCCTTTAAAAGTTGGCGACTCCCCTGACTGGTTTCTGTAGCCATTCATTCCGCCTGAGCCAGGCGTTGTGTGGCTAATGGAGTCCGTTTGTAATGCCTCAGCAGTGTGTCGTCGTGCGTTTTTCGTGGGGCAAGGTACCCAGCCGTTGTCGGTAGAGGTAAGTGGTTGAGTTGTGTTGTGATTTTGTTGTTCCGTTGGTGTGGGAGTGGGTGCATGTATTTTTTTGGGGGTGCTTCCTTGTGCAGGCGGTGGCGTTTTTGGAGTGTGGTTTGAGTGGGTGGTGAGGGAGAGGTGTTTGGACTCGTGTGTGTTGTGGGTGTGTGGTGGAGCATGTAGGTGGGCGGTGCGTGCCGTGTTGGTGTCCAAGTGTGTTTGTGAGCCACCCAGGATGTTGTCCGGCATGGAAGACTGTGTCCATTCGTCCTCCCTTGCTCGTGTGCAAGTGTCCTTAACGTATTAGAATTGTAAGAGCGTGTGATGATAGTTTTCTAAAAGGTCTTTCACACTTTGGTTTTGTTCCCCACCCCCCTCATTTTTCCGTCCCTCTGTCCCTTCATCCGTGCCTGTGCTTCCAAGATGTTCCGTGTGAGAAGGTTGAGGGGAGGCCGATGTCCCTGCTGGCTGTTGGGTGTGATGGAAGCGGCCAGGTGGGTGCCGTGGCAGTGTCCCTTGGTGCAATAGGTTTTGATTGGGGCGGGGGGGAGGGGAGGGAGTAGAGAAAGAAAGATGGATGTGAGCGATTGTTGAATTGTGATTGCTAATTTTCTTGTGTTGAGTGTTGTACGTGTTTGTTGTGAGTGGTTGTAGGTGGGAGCCGTTCGGCCGATGCAGGTCGTGTGTGCTTGTGTGAGTCTGTGTGGGGTCTTCGTGAAACGGTGGGTGTGGGGAAGATCGGTGTTGGTGAGTGTGTGCCGTGGTCCTTGGCGATGTGGTATTTTTAGAGTCGTCGTCTGGTCCCATTGTTTGTTCAGGAGTCGTGTGGGCAGCTGTTGGAGGGAGCCGTGGCGGAGCGGTGTAGGTGGCGGTGAGTGGTGACAGCCCCGTGTCGGGTGCCGTGCAGGCGCGTGAGGCTCTCCCCCAAACAGGGTGTGTGGTGCGCTTTGGGTTCCTTCCCACGGTGTGTGGCGAAGGCTGCTGTGGAGATGATTGTTGCTTTTTTTCAGGCCAAGTCATGCATTGATGGTGGATGTTCATTCCCGTTTGGCCATCCATGCGAGGTGATTGTTCTTTGGAGCTTCCCTGTGCGGTGACCCAGTGTGTCCTTGGGTGGATGCCTTTCTGTTCTGAAGAGGTAAGAAGGTGTTATGGTTCAGAAGGGTGAGAGTTGGTTCAAGAGACAGGAGGTGCCGAGAGCAGGAGTGTTTGCTTAGCTGGCTATGGACTGTTGTAGAAGCGTTGATTGCCATGCTATGTGTGGAAGGATTTTACGGAAGGAGGCCCAGAAAGAGTGACTGGTGAGCCCATGAGGATGTGTTTTGTGTTTTTTTGAGAAAGGCTGAGTCCTGTAGTGTTGTGGAGCGATTGCAATATCGTGTATGTGTTTGTTGATGTGCCTGTGTCCCATGTGGACCCGCTTAAGCATGGCCCTTCTGTTGTGTAGGCGAAAAGGGAGAAGGTAAGTGTCGATGTTGGATGTCCCAGAGCAGGAGGTTTGGATGGGGTTTGTGTAGAGTCTGTGCCGCTGGTTGCCCTTGCATGTGGTACGGAATGGGATCCTGTGTGTGGAGTGTTACAGGGGGTGGAGAGGCTGGGGTCCGGATGACCATGTCGTCCCCCAAGTTTTGTAGTATGCAGTGAAAGTTGGGAATCCTGGAAGTTGGTTTTGTGTTTGTTGAGTTGGGCCAGATAGATAGGGTTCCTCTGTGTGTGTGTGTGTGTGTGTGTGTGTGTGTGTGAGTGATGTTTCACGTGTTGGCACTGGTGTTGTGTGAAATGGCGAAGTAATTTAGTATTTGTGAAGAAGATTGAAATGTTGTGCTTGGATCCCTTCGATTCCTCTGTTGAGGTGGTTCATGAGGAAGATGGTGTTTTGATGTTTGATGATTGTGGTCAAGCCAAAGAGTGTGTCGTATGTCTGTTAGGCGTAGGCAGTGTTTTCTGTCCTTTGTCCCCTGAGTGATGACAGTGGATGGTGTTTGGAAGTGAAAGAAGAAATCAGTGTTTTGTGGCAAGCCCATGTGGAAGAAAGCACTGCGTGGATGTGTTGTATTTTCAGCGGAGCCTCCGTGTGCCCGTGTTGCCCGTGAGTCGTCGGTTCAGTGCCGTGGATGCAGGGTGGCACGAAACAGGAGCGTTGGTCCTGTTCCCTTTGGCAGTATTTTGGAAGCACAGGTCAGTGTCTGAAATGTGGTGGCTACGTGGGTCATCCCAAGTGAGTTTTTGACGTAAGCAGTTTCCAAAGGACAAGCATCCACACTGCATGTTGTGAATTTGCTGTTGGACTAGGGGGTTGTGAAAGGCTGTGGTGTTATGCAGGGGTTGCAGTCATGTGGGGCAGGAGGGCAAGGGCGTTTGAGAGGGCAAGGTAGTTTGGGATGGGCAGTGAAGTAGGAAGGACAGTGCAGGATGTGAAAGGCCTTTGGGTGAAGCAGGCTCGGGTAAGGCCCTTGCAAGGAAGAAACCCTACACCAGGGTTGTGAGTCAGGGAGGGTCAGGCCATGTCAGGAGTGTTTTTTGTGGCTGGAGCTAGGGGAGCCCCCTCCGGCAGTTGTTGCTTGTATCCGAAATGTGCATTTTCTCGTCCTAGTGATGGAATGTATTTTTCCAGTTTTCTGGTGGCGTGGGCTATCTACATGTGTTTCTTGTCTGTTTCGTTTTCTTTCGCATCCGTGTTTTCTATTGAAGAAGACAAAGTGCCTTTTTGAGTGTCCTGAGAACCGTCCGTGTGGTTTCTGTGCAGAGCATGCAGTTTTTGTGCTGTTTGTGCACGTCTGTCGTCCTTCTGTGGTGTGTGCACGACCGTTCCCTCGTGAAAGCTGCAGCAGTTGTTGGGCTCCCACCTTTCTGGGGGAGTCTGATGTAGATTGATGACCGCCCCTTTTGAAAGAACGTGGAACGGTCCTGATGTCATTGTTCTGATGGCTTTCTTTTGCCATGGTTTTTTTCTGTCACTCCTCTGTGCACATCGTTTTTGAAAATGCACATTGTGTGTTCTAAGTAAGTGTCATCCATGGGTCCTCTCCTGGATCTTGTGCAGAACGACTTTGAAAGAGGGCACTGTGCATTGCCAAGCAGGGAGTGTGAGATGCTGAATGGAATTGTACAATTTTGGAGATGTGCATCGTTGCAGGTTTTTCAATGAAAGTCTATTTTCTGGATTGTTTTACAGAGGAATGGAGAGGGAGAGGTGTGGGATGCAGAGGTTGAGACATGGATCAGCTGCTTCCTTTACAGCTTGAACGTGGGACGGATGTGCTTATCTCCAAGGTACCCACTTTTGGCTGTCACGGAATCTGGGACAGTTGATGGTGGAGGCTGATGCTCTGTGCAGCGATCCAAAGCGGGTTGTGCCCACCCGTGCTTTTGAAGCGGCATGGGAACGTTTTTGAACCTGTGGGGCAGTTTGGCGATGACGTCCGTATTTGCTGGTTTTGGGGATTCTACGTTAGCCCAGGATGCGAGTCGATTTTTAAAGGATCGATGAGTGTTGCAGTCCTAGAATTGACTAGCTGAGAGCAAGTCAGAGAATGAATGGAGGAATGACTGAGTGCCTAGCGGAGGGAGTCTTCATGGGCCGTGGCATGAAGATGTTTTTTCCCTGTTCAGTTTTCCTCCTTGTGGACCGTGGAGGCCTGTGGAGTGAAGAGTTTTGTGTTTTCAACGGGTGCGGTGCACGTCCCCACACTGTAGGCGTGATCTGTTTGCTTGTTTCTGTCCCTTGCATGAGATGAGGCAAGATCCTCTCTAGATGTGGTTTTCTTCTGTGGGCCTGTTTTTCTTTTTCTGGTGCCTTTGTGTTGTGCTGTGAAGGTGCATGGGAGGCCATTGTCTGGAGCAGGGGTCGTCCTCCAACTATGGCCTGTGGGCCACATGCCAATACAAATATTGTGTTTGTTCCCGTTTTGTTTTTTTACTTCAAAGTTAGATCTGTGCAGTGTGCATAGGAATTTGTTCATAGTTTTTTTTTTAAAAACTATAGTCCAGCCCTCCAACGGTCTGAGGGACAGTGAGCTGGCCCCGTGTTTAAGAAGGTTGAGGACCCCTGGTGTAGGAGTTTGCAGAAGGTTTTCCGTGGTGATGGACCAGAGCAAGGAGTGTCCGCATGCGTTTTGGAAGTTGGACAGGATTGTCGGAAAGGTCTGTGACCGCTTCCGTGGTGTTGAAGTGAGGGAGAGCACGGGAGAGAAGGGAAGATCCCCTGGAGAGGAGAGTGACCGAGGGGATGGTTTTTGAGTTTGTCGTGTTTGAGTTTTGAGGTGTCTGTGCCTGTGCTAGGAGAGGTTGGTCATCGTTTCATCTGTGTGGAGTTGATGTGTGTTGTGTTTTCAGTAGGGACCTAGTCCCATGATGTGTTCCTCGTTGAGGAGCATGGATGGAGGATGTGTGGCCATGGTAAACATCTATGTCAGCATGAGGATTTGAGCCCTTGGGGGTCCCCCTTGGGAGTTACTTCCCCCAGTGCTTTTGAGGGTTGGGGTGTGCTTATCTCCGTGTCCCAGAACTGCATGGATTGTCCTCCCTCACAGTTATGGTTTTAAATGGTCGTGGAAGCACTGTGGATATTTCTTCTAGTGATTTGTAGAGATTGTATGAGGGAGGTGCGGGGGGGGGGAGTGAGGGGAGCAGAGAAAGAAAGATGGGTGTGAGAGGTAGTTGAATCGGCATCGGTAGTTGCATAGACTTGTTTCAAGTCTTGTATGTGTGTGTAATGGTTGTAGGTGGAAGCCGCAGGCTGATGTGTTTGTGTGAGTATGTCTGGGGTCCTCATGAAATGGCGGGCGTGGTGAAGCTAAGCAGCCATGGAGGGGATGTGTTGGTAAGTGGCTCCTGTGATGATTGGTCACGTGCCATTTTCAGGGTCGTCCCCCTGGCCCCACTCTTTGCGTAGAAGTCCTGTGGCCAGTTGTTTGAGTGACCCGTCGTGGACTCTGGAGGCGGTTGTGAGTATGACAGTCCTGTGGTGGGTGTTGTGCAGGCATGTGAGGCTCCCTTCCCCCTCGCCCCCGAACAGCGAGTGTTGTCTGCTTTGGATTCCTTCTGACCGTTTGCGGTGAAGGCTGCTGTCTAAATGTTTGTTGCTTTTTTTTTCAGGTCATTTATCGAATGTGGAAGTCCCTGTTTGGCCATCCGTGGGAGGTTGTTGTTCCTTGGAGCTTCCCTGTGAGGTGAAGCAGTGTCTTTGGGTGGCTGTGTTTATGCCATCAAGAAGTCAGAAGGTGGCACAGTTCCGAATGATGAGAGTTTGTTGAAGTGATCTCAGATGCAGAGAGCAGGCGTGTTTGCTTAGATGGCAGTGTACTGTCGTAGGGGAGTTGAATGTGAGGATAAGTGTGACAGGATGTTACCGAGTGAGGAATAGAAAGTGTGACAGTGTTCAGTGTTGACCCATGGAAGCTTGGCCAGTCCTTTCTTAGGTGAAAAGGAAGAAGGTATGTGTCCCTGTTGGATGTCCCAGAGCAGGAGGTTTAGGTAGTGGTTTGTGGAGAGCATGTGCAGCTTGTTGCCTGTGGACCGAGTGGTGTATTGTATGTTTCCACGGTGTAGGTTTCATAGGAGTTGCAGTGTCTGTCCCCTGTAGGAGAGGAGGCAAGACCATGTGTAGATGTGGTTTTCTTACATGCATGTGCTTTTGTTTTCCCCTTGTATTCCTGTTTGACTGTAGGTTAAGGTCCATGGGAAGCCATGTTGATTTTTTTGAACGAAAAGATATATGTGTGTATGGCCTGTTTGTTTTGAGTTTCTAAAAATTTTTGTTTGAAATGTGGCCCAGATGTACAGATTGTAGTGGAGGAGGAGGAGGAGGAGGAGGAGGAGGAGGAGGAGGAGGAGGAGGAGAGAGGAGTATTTAGTAGGTGAATCTCCTATATTGTGGTTGTGAAGTCTGAGGAGGTGCTTTGTGTAGGTCCTCTCTGAAGCAGTGTCTCCCACCTATTTTTGTCAGCTCCCTGTCCTTTTCAGTATCGTGCATCCATTTTTTCCAGGGCTCCCCGTGGGAGTTTTTTCCTTTTTGTGCCACAGTATGTGTTGATTGTAAGTTACCTGGCACCGTAGAGGAGTTGAGTCTGTTGTTTCTGTTGGGTGGGTGAGAATGTCACCTGTGGAAAGGGTGTTATTTGAGCCAGTCTT